ATTAAAGTAGTTCTCCCTGTAGAGAGCTACTCTTTTCTTTTTAATTTAAGATTTCTTTATAATAAAATTTGATTTTTATAATAAAATTTGAAGCGGCGTTTTCCTTTTCAGTCTCGTAAATATATTTGAAGGGGACATCAAATTCGAAGCTAGGATGTTGGGATGAATTTGTATTCGTTCATGGTATTTTCTAGCTACCTTTTTTACTTCATCTCTTACCGGGATTATCCCAAGGTCCCGATGGATTTGAATGTTAGTTACATACCATGGAGCATTTACTATTTCCCGTAAAGTTTTAGATTGAAATCTTTGAAGAATTTCTATGTTGGATGTTGAGGCTGTTCCCCATAATTGAATGCCATAGGTCCATACTGGTTTTAGCACACTTTTATATAAAATAAGTTTATTCTTTAGGGATACTGAAGATTTTTTATTTAGTAGCCAAAACATTTTTCTGTATTGAATCCCAAGGGATTTCCTTTTGTTAAAAATATGCGTTTTCCATGTCAGACGTCTATCTAAGTGCATGCCCAAGTATTTAGCGCTATTTGATTGCGGAATTATTATATTATTAAGTTTAATTTCCGGGCAGGTGTCTTTTCTCATTGTGAATGTAACATGAGTTGATTTTGTTTCATTTGCTTTCATGCGCCAATACTGCAACCATTTTGATATACGATCAAGACCAGCTTGTAGTTTGAATGAGGCTACAGAGGGATCGTTTGCACTCGCCAGGATAGCTGTATCATCTGCAAATGTACCGGTTACAATTCCTACCGTCTTCGGTAAATCGTATGTGAAAAGCAGATAAAGGGTTGGACCGAGTACACTGCCTTGTGGTACTCCAGCTCTAATATCATGTAGAGAAGACATGTAGAGAAGAAAAAAACCAAAGCAACAAAAATTGAACTACTGGCTCAGTAATTCGAATAGATTTGATGGACTGGTAGTGGAAGAAAAAGAAGACCAACCTGCTAAACAAGAGGAAAAACCGCTTAAATCACCACCAATTTTTGTAGATAAAGTTGAGGACGTTCGCCCACTTTTAAATCTGCTTAACGAAATTGCAAATAATAAATATGAAATGAGAGTGATTTCATCTACTCGGGTTCGTATACAGCCCAGTGCACCGGAAATTTATTCAAAAATCGTTAAAATGCTAGAAAGTAAGAACACGGAATTTTACACATACAAACCCAAAAATGAAAGGAGCTTTAAGGTCATATTAAGAAATATGCATCCCTCCGTCGATATTGGGGATATAAAAACAGCTCTAGAAGAATTTGGACATGCTACTACAAATATATGGAATATGAAACATCGCCACACAAAAAGGTCCCTTCCAATGTTCGTTGTAGAAATAGAGCAAAAACCAAATAACAAAGATATCTACAACATTAAAAGCTTACTCCACAGTCGAGTTACCTTTGAGCCACCCCATTTCAAACGTGAGTTACCTCAATGCTCAAGATGCCAACACTATGGCCACACTAAATCAGGATGTAGAAGACAACCCAAATGCATTAAGTGTGCTGGTAATCACGCATCGGCTGACTGCGAAAGAAAATCCAGAACAAATGATGTTAAATGTGTTCTTTGTGAAGGTAACCACCCAGCAAACTACAAGGGCTGCTTAGTGTATAAAAAACTGCAAGCGTCTACTTTCCCACCACTTAAAAAAAAATTTCTAAAACCTGATGCTGAATTTGTATCCTCAACTAATCAGCATCAAGAACAACACGAAAAACAGCAAACTTTCGCTCAACCTGCACGCGCTCAACCAGTTCAAACTACTCCAAATAAAAACTCTCAGCAAACTTACGCTCAAGTTGCTGCCAACCAAATAGATCAAATTTCTTTCAATAAAAATAATCTTCACAGCGATGCATTGGTGAGTGAAATGAAAGAAATGATGAAACTAATGCGGGAAGTAATGAATCAAATAACTACCATGACAAATCTTTTAGTAAGTCTTGTTTCTAAACAAACCATATGCCCATAAAGCTCGTCTTATGGAATGCCAATGGGTTGTCAAAACATTCCTCTGAACTGAGATTATTTCTATCAAAAAATAACGTAGATGTATTATTAGTTTCAGAAACTCATTTCACAAAAAAAAGTTTTTTAAATTCCATCCTATTGTTTCTATCAGTCTCCGCATCCGGACGGAAAAGCTCATGGAGGCTCTGCAGTATTAATTAAAAGAACACTTAAACATTATGAATGTACTCACTATAGCACTGATGAAATTCAAGCCACAAATATTATGATCGAGGACTCAGTCGGACCAATTCTTATATCTGCCATATATAGCCCACCAAAACATAATGTGAAGGAAGAAATCTACACAAAATTTTTTTCAACATTAGGGAATCGATTTATAACTGGTGGCGACTTCAATGCGAAAAATAAATTCTGGGGATCACGACTAACCACAACAAAGGGACGTGAATTATACAAAGCAGTGAGACTCTTGAAACTTAAAGTTTTTTCCACAGGAGAGCCCACATACTGGCCATCAGATACAGATAAAATTCCTGATCTTATTGATTTCTGCGTTACCAAAGGCTTCCTTTATGAACAGGTGCAATGTAAGACCAGCTTAGAGTTATCATCGGACCATTCACCAGTGATTGTAATAATAGATAAAGACCTTAGAAACAAGATCCAAAAATGTCAATTATACAACAAGTAAACAAATTGGACTATATTTGAAACAATGTTGTCATCGTCTCTAAACGTCAAAATGCCACTAAAAACTGAAGAAGATATAATTGAAGCGACTGAATACCTAACCAGATCTATTCAAGAGGCAGCATGGGAAGCTACTCCTCCTCCAAAAGTCTATATGAAGAATCTAGTAACGTATACTGGGGAGATCACAAAAAAACTAAAGGATAAACGAAATGCTAGAAAAATATGGCATCGCACCAGATTTCCTGAAGACAAGAGGAAACTTAACAAAATTATTAAAGATCTAAAGACTCTGCTGAAACGACAGACGGAACAAAATACGCAGAAGTTCTTACATAGCCTCGACACGTCTCACTTATCTCACTATTCTCTATGGAAAGCAAATAAAAAAGTAAATAATACAATAGATTATCGACCCCCACTTAAAAATACAGATAATACTTGGGCGAAAAAACCGTCTGAAAAAGCTCAACTTTTCGCAAGCCACCTAAAAAACGTTTTTATTCCACATGATATGACTGGCGATTCAGAAATAGATGTCAATGTTTCCAAATTTTTAGAAGAAACTCACCAAATGGAGTTACCAATTAGGAAATTTAAAAAACGAGAAATAATTTCTACAATTAAATCTCTTAAAAATCAAAAGGCACCTGGTTATGACCTCATAACTGCCGAAATTCTTAAAAAACTTCCAGATGTTGCTTTAATATTTATTACTCATCTTTTCAATGCATCCTTGTTAAAAAGTTTCATCCCTGATCAATGGAAAGTTGCCGAAATAAAGATGATACTAAAACCAGGGAAACCAGCTGAAGATGTAAAATCCTATCGTCCAGTAAGTCTCCTTCCCATTCTTTCAAAAGTTCTTGAGATATTATTTTTAAAACGTCTTATGCCGGTAATCGAGTCGAAACGAATAATTCCGAACCACCAGTTTGGATTCAGAAGAAAACACTCAACCATTGAGCAAATTCATAGAATTGTTGAAAAAATACAGACCACTTTCGAGCGAAAAGAATACTGCTCAGCAGCGTTTTTGGACATATCTCAAGCATTTGATCGAGTATGGCACCAAGGACTTCTTTACAAATGTAAAAAGCTTCTGCCACTTAACTATTATACGTTCATAAAATCGTATCTATTGAAAAGACTCTTTTATGTCAACATATTACATATGACACATTTTTCAAAATTTGGTAATTTCCCTTGAGGAAATTTATTTTTGAGGGTTGCATTGGATATCTTTGCCTTAAACGAGCTGATTTATTGATAATGAGCTCGTATATGTGAAAACTCTTTGTATGGTAAATCAGCCTCATTAGTGGTTATAATGAGTAAAAACCGTCTAAATATGACGGTGTGAACGTGTTTAAGGACGTGTGCGAATTAGGCTAAGTTGCGTTCTAAATGAGGAAAATTCTAAGTTGTGTCCATAATGTAGCAATGTGTTGATAAGTGGCTAAATGTGTGCAGTGCAAAAAATCTCCCATTTGGTTTATGATCAACTTAGCCTAACTCGCACACGTCCTAAGATGCTTTTAATGTACGATATAAATATTACAACTTAACAGCTTGCGAATTCGCTTTAGCCTTATTAATTACTTTTAACTGCTTGCACACATGCTCCTCAGTGTAAATAAATTACGGATTGTTGCAAATATAAATTGTTCCAACAGTAACGGAAACACAATTCCAGTTTAATCTTATTATATAAGCTAAATTATTATTCATCGGAGGAGTGTTTTTTTATATATTTATTAGGTTGTGTGTCACAAATTTCTATTGTGAATTATTTGACGAAGAAGAATGCGGATAAAAACAAAATAAAATATATTTAATTGTCCAGAATAGTTTTGCGTGAAATAAAATTTAATTGCAATTTGCATATATAAAAGAGTTAAAATGGTAGTGTCTGATGAGAATATGAAATTTAAATTATTAACGGAAAAATTAAATCAGAAATGCGTGGAGATACAAACAGAAAATGAGCGAATTGTTTTAAGGTAAGCTCAAAACTTAAGTCCTGTTTCACGATTCATATAACTATTGTTTTCAGAATTAATAAGACGCGCAGGATTTTAAGAAAAAAGCAACGGGATATAGAGCTACTAAAGCGTCGCCTTGATAAATTCAACGATGGTTGGCGCTCGATACCAATGGTTGCAGCGAACCCAAAGAGAAAAATTGAGCAAAAACGCGGTCGAAAACCTAAGGTGAAAGACACTGAAGAAAAGCAGCCAAAGGAAAAAAAACAGCGTGCAAAAAAACTTGCAGTTGAGTCTATTAATAAGGATGTAGTTGCAAACACGGCCCAATTCCAAACTCCCGATAGAAGTCTCGGTGAATACATAAAATTACCTTTCCCAGACGGAAATGACGTCCAAAATTAAAACAATGATTGGCTGTTTTAAGGTTTATTGTGAAAGCTATATAAGACCACTAAGTGATAACAATGCTTTCGTTTTTTACGAAGCTTAATTTTAATAAAATATATGTAACTAAATTCAAGAAATACAAATTGCCTTTATTGAGGCGTGATTCAACGGCTTGTTCGAATGTAAAAACTTTTCAGGCTAATTATTCAGCTTGTCGCAAGCGTGCCAGACGCTGTGTTAGCTCGTCTTGTTCCTGCGATACTTGAGTCGAAGCACCAATTGTGGAACTTTGAACACCACTGGGTAATTCCATATTCAACTCCAAGCTAAATAAATAAATAAATTATTTACTATATATAAAAAACAATATTTTGGTGTTTCCGTACCCTGCCTCATCAGCCACTTGTTGTAACAAGTTATCTACATCTCCTTGTGGTACAGATGTAGTGACAGTGTCTGACATTGTATTCTCCATAACTGAGCTCTGTACATCCAAGTCTTCAAATTGCGACTCAAACTTCTCCATCAGAGACGATATTTTCTCAAGATTCATGCCTTTCATAGCAGCATCCATTGCCTTAACAACGCCTGCCATGGAACTTGTTACCTTTCTTGTTGTGAGTGCAGACTGAACACGACTGGCTACTGCATCAACTCTAGCGCTCATACGCAAATAATTCACAGCTTGGTTTTTTTGTCTAATGGCGTTTTCAGCATGAATTCGTGCTACATCCATATTTCCCTTTTGTATGGCCTTTTTAGCTTTCATCTTTTCCAGTTTCTCTTCCTTTTCACATTTTTTGGAATTACGTTCTAAATCCTTAACGGCGAATTTCAGATTGAAGAGATGCTCTGTAAGTAGTAATTATAGTTGAAATAAATTAATGACTCAAACTTATTTGCGTATCTATGGAAGAAAAACTCACTTTCCATTGCTGATGTAGACATGTCGTTACCCAGTTTGAAATTTTAATAAAAGCAATGAGGAAATTAATTACACTTTTTAATTTTGACAGTCAAAAATTTTTGCTATAATCTTTTAATTAATTTCTATTGTTTATGACGTACTTTTTGTTGCTTGTTTTAGAAATGATTCATTCTCGTTTTCAGAAATGTCAAGTAAACATATGTACTGCACAGACACAGCAGCCTCTAGCGGCGAGAAAAATTTTAGGCATCGACCACACTTCGTAATATATAATTTAATTGAACAAATGATTTTATTATGGTTTTGTGCAAATTACTAAAATGTTATATTAAAATTTTAGAATTCTTATCAAAAATAGTTTAATAGATTTCAAAAATCTGTTAACATATTTTTTTGTTAACATATTCAATGCTCTGCGAAGACATATATTTGCTTACTGTGCTCTATATATTGCTTACTGTGCTCTATGTATTTAGTAAGATAACATAATATTACAAGTGGTTTCTTAGAAAGGTGCATGCACACTAAAGTGAACGAATCGTAACTGCAAAAGTTCGTTCGATCGCAAACGTTCGCTTTGGTGTGGATGTACCCTGATAAAAAAAAGTCATGTGATTTATAATTTTAATATTGTCATCTGTTTAATCATAACATATTCTAACATTTTGATTAAAGTATGATATTAGAATAAAAGAGTTGCACAAATGTATTAACGTGTAATCCTCACAGATTATTAGATACATTGCGTTCTCAAATACTGCTTATCTTATATGTTATATATAATAAGTTAAATGATTTCAGTCGCAATATAATGTCAAGAACGAATGCACGAAACATACAACTTACAATATATTTCTGGAAAATATAATAAAGCCGCTATAATATAATCACTACAATTTTACTTATCTTAAACAGTGTTTTAAAAAAGCTATTTAATAAATTTGATAGATTTCGGTAAATATTTATTACATATATATAATGCGTGCTTAGATTATTGTTTTCAAGATCTTTAATACATATGTATAATGCACATACTTATCATAAAATAGTAAATATAAATATTAAAATTTTTTCTATGTCAAAAATTTAAGCAATAGATGGTTTTTAGCATATTTTTATTTAAATAAAAAAATAGGAAAAAGTGAATCTAAAAGTAATTAATACGTAGTTTGAATCAAACTACCCTTTCCAACCGTTTAACACTCAACAGTCAAAACAGTGACACGCGTCATCGCCTACAACCATAGTAGTTCTGCTTTTTGACGTATGTAGTGATGAAAAAATTAATATCAAAGAAAATTGCTGTTCATAAAAATATAGAATACAAAATTGTTTATTGAACATTAAAACATAAAAGTATATAAACTGCAGCTAATAATTGCTGACTTCACACTCAAGATTCTAATGAGTGCAGATTATATACGCTTCGCAACATCATTAAAGTGGGTTTGCATTTGCGAATAGTTTGTCATTTGCTTTTTTTGTCGAATCGCATTTTCAGCATGAATTCTGGCTACGACCATATCTCCCTTTTGTAAGGCCTCTTTGATTTTTAATATTTCAAGTTTTTCTTCTTTTTCACATTCTTTGGAATTGCGTTCCAAATCCTTTATCATACGCTTCAGAGTGGAAAGGTAATCTAAAAAGAGCAAATGTAATATAATAGATAAAATATTAATTTTACATATATGGTATTTGATTATTTGCACATTTAAGATGTAAAAGCTTACTTTCCATTGCTGATGTTAACATATCGTCACTCAATTTAAGTTTAGCATTCTATCTGTCAGATATAAATAATATTTTCATATGCAACTATTTTCTTTGCTTAAAGGATGATTCATGCTAATTTCAAAACAAGTTTCAACTAACAATAACTACAACCTTTTACAAACTCTACTTCAATTCTTTACAAAGTTTTCGTGATAATTCCATGATATGTACTTTTTACTATTAATTTGGAATTTGAATATTATAATTTTTTATAAAGTAAAAAAGCCAATTCTATTAAAACTGACTTGAAATTTATTTGTGCGAATTAGCGCATACAACTGTCAACACAACTGAATATAAAATTTAGTGTTAGCAGCGGCCTCTGTTGGAAAAACTTAATATATTAGGCGGTGTTTACAGGAATATCCGTTTATCCGAAATAAATCACGAGAAATTATTATTGCCTTTATGTAATTATTAATCTTATTGGCTTTTATGTAAAATATCACGAATTTTTATTTACGAAGTTTCTAAAAATATTGCGAAAAATCACGGAGGAACATCGAAACCTTTTTAAAGCAAAAAACAAGAAAAAAAATTGGGATTTAACAATACCATATCGTATGCCGTGTGCAGATTATGGAAGTAACACTTTAGTCAATAATACGGGTGACTAACTAAGAAAAACAAATTTTTTCTGCCAAAAATCGATTTTACTCATCAATATAATCTCCTTCAAGGGCAATACAATCATTCCAACGCTTCTCTTACTTCTCGATGCCGTGCTTGTAGAAGGATTTGTCTTTTACCTCAAAATAGGCTTCAGTTGCAGCAATTACTTTTTCATTTGAGATGAATTTCATACCGGCGAGCACTTTTTTGAGATCAGCGAATAGCCAGTAGTCGCTGGGGACCAGATCTGGACTATACGGTGGATGAAGAAGCAACTCGAAGTATAATTCGTACAATTTTACCATAGTTTTCATTGACTTGTGATATGGTGCATTGCCTTGATGAAACAAAATTTTTTTCTTTGCCATATGCGGTCGGTTTTTCATAATTTCTGCTTTCAAACGATCCAGTAATGCCGAGTAGTAGTTACTATTGATAGTTTTTCCCTTTTCGAGATAGTCAATGAAGATTATACCATGTGCATCCTAAAATACTGAAGCCATAACCTTCCCAGTTGACTGTTGTTCCTTTGGACGCTTCTGACGTGGTTCACCGGCTGCAGTCCACTCAGATGATCGTTTTGATTCCGGAGTGAAGTGATGGATTCATGTTTCATCCATAGTCACGCAAAAAATCTGATTTAATAGGTGTAAACATGATCAAACACTGCTCTGAATTATCAACAGGTTGTTGTTTTTGATCGACTGTGAGTAAACGCGGCAATCACTTTGAAAAGAGCTTTCTCATGGTGAAATGTTCATGCATAATTGTAAACACATTCCCAATTTCTGAACTTTTTTGATGTTTTCTGAAGTAACCACCTCAATTGGACGACCAGAACGTTCACCATCATCGGTGTCTGTACGACCACGTTTAAATTCAGCAAACCAATAACAAATGGTTTTTTTCGATGGAGCCGAGTCCGAATAACACTTTTGAAGCCATTGCTGAGCTTGTACAGTACTTTTTTTCATTAAGAAGCAATGATAAATTAACACACGAAATTGTTTTGAATCCATTGTTTTGAAAATAACAAAAGTAGCTTTATTTAAACGACTGTCATTTTTTCCTGACTAATCGAAATGTCATGAAATTTTACACATAGTCTTTCGAAGGTTCGTACTTCATAAAAGCCATATTATCAACCATGACTGATGTATTAGTTGGGTTGTGAGAAAGAAGCTGACCCATTCTTCCTTATATATTCAATTATTTGGGTCGAAGTAAATTAAAGGAGACACATAAAAACCAATTGATTTTCGATTTATTTACGTAAACATAGGAAATCTATGTTATACTAGTTGACACAAGCATTGAATAATATTGCATTTCTTTGTTAGCGATGTATTTGGTGATCGGATCAAACTTGTGTTGTTTGAAATTTTGTCTTATCTTGGATTCTGTGTACTCTGTAATAATTAGTCACGTTGAATATATTCTGTTACTTGCATTTTCTAGGTTAGCAACGTTTAGGATAAATAAATCAGCTTTAAAACGCGAAACATTTTGTCGATACTACATATCATTTTGAGTGAATGTTTCACGGATAGGATTATGTAGTGTAATAGCAACTATGTTATGCACCAGATAAAGACTATGCTTGTATGTATATTTGTAGAAGTTATACTATAGTATATCGATGGTTTTTGCGAGTATAATTAGTGATTGAAGCTGAATTCTTTAAACGTCCTCCAACCTTCCAAGTTGTGGAGTCTACAAATATATTTAATGTGTTCGTGACAATTTGAGACATAAATATATATCATGTTCTCAAGTCTACTTTATTTCCCGTTATAGTATTGATAATATCTATTTTTTAGAATTCTGTGCCACTGATAGAGTGCGCTTGGTCAGCGTCTCTATGATATTAATGTTTCTTATACTATATGTTGAAAGACAAGGCTAGTACAAATGGAGTGTACTTTTTTGAGTATCATTTACTTCTTAAAGTCTCAGTCAAGTATAACATGTGGCAATCTCATTTACTATTTTGTTTCTTTTAATCCTAATATGACCTGGTTCCGTTTATTCGAAGCTTACCTTTTTATGGAGGTTTTGGTCCATGGAATATTAATCACTTAATCGTTACTTAAATTAGGTCTGTTGCACGAGCTACTCGTAGTAAAGCTAAAGTAAAACACAAGTAAAGTACAAACTGAGAGCATAACTCAAATAAACTGCTAAATTTCGCTCTTTACACAGATTTTCATGGAACAGGTTTGTGTGAAGTGGTGAGATACAAAAGTTTAAATTCAAACCAAAACAGCTGATTCACACATCAACACAAATTTTACTTGAAATAAAATATACAAGTAAAGTCAGTGTAGCATTTTCAAATTTCGACAAGGATGTTACGCTCTTTCAGATGTTCTCATTTACTCAAAAATTTGCTGATGGAACACACTTGTGTTAACACTGTGTTGCTCAAAATTACTACAAGTAGCTCGTGGAATAGACCTATTATGTTTACATCTAGACTTATCGAACGTTTTTAGCATATTCATGTATGGATTTTGTATAAAAAATTACATGTCCGGTTGTGGGTATTTGTTTCTACTTAGATTGTACTGTATTAGTACTTTAGAACAGCATGAACTACTTATTTTCGAAAATATGCATCCAGAAATTTGTGTAATTTGAAGAGTTCTTTTCAATAAATAACAGAAATATGCAAAAATCGAAACAGATCTGAACTCAGACTAATCACTAAATTTCTGACTAAATATGTCGCTATTAAATATCACCTTCTAGAGATAGAATTAAATCATGCTGATATTTGCTTATCTTATGAGTTAGAGAATTGAGTATTCCCCCTCTCTTTTGTCGTATTTTGTGTTGTGTCTGTCCTATAAGCTATGGTCATCTGCAAATACGTTTT